GCCAATAACGGCGCTACTGTTTTGAAATAGACCTTCCTTTCAAATTGTACTTATAATTTTGATAAAATTATATCCGTGAAAATTGTCTGTGCTTCACAGACAATGTCAGGTTCTACCTCCGTTGCATCATAAAAATGCTTTACTCTGGAGTCGTATTAGCGTTTCGACTTATTTGGCCTTCGGAAAGAAGGCCTACTTCAAAGCAGCCGATCAATGTCTCAAAGACATGTTCATTGACTGAAATAACGTTAGGTTGCCGACCTACCGACCTGTATTTTGAAACTTATAAAATATATAGTGAGTAGGTACATAGTATGTACTTACGAGCATCGTTAAAATGTGCGGAAATAACTTTTAATAACGTAATTACGCGTATCGTTGTCATCAGATGACACGCATCGCGTAGGTGATCTCTGAATGAACGGAAAGAGCAAATTTTGACTGCCAATAGATGATGCTAATGCTCTATTGAAAATGGTATTGTAAAGGGTCGTTTAAATGATATTTAAAAAAAATCCTTCCACAATACAAGTAATAAAATGATTAATCATATAATGTTACCTAATATTTTCTTTCTAATATAGAAACGCTATGTTAAGCTACGAGGTACCATTATTTTAAAAATATGTAATTATTGCTTCAGACTATTTGTATCTGAACTTCACCGCTGCGGTTTAAGGGTTTTTGTTTGTTTTATGCATGGAAATTTACGTACGTACGTTGGACATATTAAAAAGAGAAAAAAAAACAAAATATTCATGAAAATAACCATATTCATTTCAATTATTATGTTTAGCATTTCTACCTACAGCGATATGTCACTTTTTAAGTTAGAATAACTCAATAAAGATGTACTTCTAAGTTGAATCTATAATTGTTTCGACCTTTTAACAAAAAGTCGACGAACTTTAGATAAATTTGTTTAAACAAATAAACTTAAAACTATTTATAACATGTTATGAACGTTATAAACGTACACATGGCATGAAGGTGCTCGTACAGATGAAGTGTGAATGAAATAAACTCAGCAAGGGCTGTCTTTTTACCAGTTCTTCTCAGCACAAAATTTCCTGCTCATTTGCGAAGGGGTAATTTAGTTTTACAACTTTCACAAAGTGGTCTCGGCATTCCCAAACAATTTTGGACAAAAAACTTGTTTTCTAAATTGAACTGATACCCTTTAATTCTATAGCCGAATTACTTTCAATCTTTTCTAAAAAAAATCCTATCCACCATTGGATGTCGTATATTTTTGCCTAAAAGATTAAATCAAAATATCAAAACTCCAATTATAAGTAAAGTAAAAGGGGGCCTCGAAGTCTAATTTCCTAAATAGGAAGTTTATGTTTAAAATACGAAACTGAGTCGTACAAAATATACCTTATATGGAAGCATAATAGGCAATGTCTATTGATACATTATCATTATCTTCGTGTCGATATAATGTAACAGTCCAATTATTTTAATTGCGTTGCGGCTCACAGCACCGGGTGTGACCTTTCCACCTCCTGATCTGTTATCTTTATGGTGCCGGACATATGATGAAACATTCAGGTAAAATGACAAGATTTTTTAAATAAACCGGACGTGTTTTATGGTTCTGTACCGAAAAAAGAAAAACGACGCCCAAGTTGTGTCTGCAGTAATCCATGCATACTAAATATTATATGACTAAATCAATATACACCCAGCATGTGAAGTTTGACAGTCTTTAGTGAATACAGAACCTGCAAAGGGTCCGAAACTTCATGTGTGAAAATACAAACGCACTGAAACTGTTATAAGTTGTATCATTAAACGAATTGTGTGTGTGAAAAAATAAGAATTCATTATGATGAGAGTGTTAAACTTCACCATTAATTTTAAAATCAGATTGAGAAAGACTGTTTTGTATAACATATTATTATGTTGACTGTACATTTTTCACTGTTTGTACAGTCAACAGATTATACTGTCAAATTATACCAATGAATTTTGAACCAGAGGAGCTCGATGGCGCAGTGATTAGCGCGCTCAGTGTCTAATGCAGAGATTAACATTCACAAGGGTCGGTCATAGGTCATCATATCGTTTAATTAACGTTTAAGTATAATTTTTTTTTTCACCTTTCGTACCACACATTAATATCACTAGAAGTATAATAGCACTTTTTTGCTAAATAACTAAAGCTACTGAAAAAAAACACATTAATTATTATAAACCCCTTTATTCATAATTTAGAATCTCAATTTACACCTAATTTATATTTACACTATACACATCACTCTTAGATTCCGCAATATAGTTTAAAAAATAAATAGAAAAATATTGAATAAAATTTCCGATATGTAATATTCACTAACAGAATTAAAAAAAAAATAAACATCACAAAATATAGTCGTTACAGCCACATTTTTAATCTCAATAGAGAAATTTCACTTTATAAAAGAAACTAAGTTTAAATATAGTTTTGCTAATTTACAGTATTTTTCTCTTACCATATTTTATTTTAACTTCCCATATTTATATACTACTTACATTTTTCTAAACATAGCTACCGTATAATATCATGTTAAAATATAATCAGTAATAACGCTTTCAAAATTAAATTTGACGTTGTAATAGGTCAAATTACAATCTCAAACCCCACATTATTCAATTGATACTGAGCTGTAATATCATTGTTTAATGACGATATTTGAGAAACGTTACGAAACATATTTGCCACACTATTCTCAAAGATTTTAATTTATTTAAACTAAGACTTTTTTTTTATTTACATCAATGTATTTTAGCAGCATTATATAACTAATCTCAATTAATAAAATTGGCTTACAATGGTAACTAGTTCAAATTATTATATTTTGGGACGAAGTTGATCCACATTAGATGCCATTTAAAATAATGCCATTATTTATCGTATGTTGACGTTTACAAAATTATTTTAAATTTTAAACTATTGCATAAAACCTGCCCAATACAAAGTTGTGTAACAAAAAACTATTATTGTAGAGAATCGATAACAACAAACGTATATATTAATATAGATATAACTGCGTCATACTTATGAGATTTTAAAGATGCCTTAAAATTTTTCAAACGAAATATCTTAAACGGAAAAAAGAAATCTTATTACTGTACTTAAATGTATACAAACAATTTATATTCAAATCTCAGAATCGCAGGCATATCCATACTAAAACAATATATCCTACCTACACCATTCGCTTATGACCTACATATGTCACGACAGAACATCAGGTTACAAAAAATATAAGGTGTCGCATCCTATTTTGAACTTAATGCCTTCAAACTTCAAAATCGATTAAAGAATTTAGTTTAGGGTAACCTGACATACTGTTTACGTCAATTGTATACACGAAGCTTATTACCGTAATTAGTTTCATGACAGTATTGGTAACTAGTCATATTGTGTAATTCTACTTAATTGGGACCGGTCCCTTTAAAACGAGCTTAGACGACTGTAAAGTTTACAGCAATAAACTAAGCCGTTATCGGTATCACACATCCACAATCACAGCGTCAATATCGTTGCACTTTCAGACATCGAACAAATAGGGATGACGACTGGGTAAAAAAAAGGAAATTCTATTTAGCCCGTCAATCAGATAATAGAATAAATATTATTTACGTATTTTTTTTTTACTTCAATTTAACAAGGAATAGCTTAGATAACAGACATTAAAGCTGGGGAGTGGGGGCTCATTACGTCACAGTTTTAAAGTAAATTTACAAAAGCGTGACGTCATGAGACATTTTAACTCAACGTATCGCCATAACTTACGAAAAAATAAAAAAAATACGTTTTTAATGAATTTCAACAATCTACCTGGCGGACAAACAAATAAAAATTAGTCGTTATCCCTATTATATGAGTACTTGATTACTGCAACTTACTTATTAGGTTATATATCGTTAGGTCTATGGTAGCTCTAATGAAACACACGATTATTAAAATATCACTAGTTCGAATCCAGCTAGTTGTTTTTATTATTTTTCTAAGATTTAAAGTATTTTTTACTCAAATAAAAATCTGTGATCACGATAAGTGGAGTTATTTCAATTGGATGACATCAAACATATATGTTAATATGGATACGACGATGGTATCTGAACTTTTTAAGTGAACTAGAATTTAAATGAACAATATCGTTATTGCTGAAGTTTGTTTAATCCAAAATTAAATTACTATTATTACTAATATAACAATTTATATTATGAGCTAGTATGAATGATCCGCATGAAATTTTCTACGCAACAGTAAAAATCACTCACAAGTCAGTTGCGTGATTCATATGAAGCGTTAAGCCTATAGACAGGAAATTATAGTTAAGAAACAGATTCAATGAACCTACTAAGCTATTAATTTTTTAACTGTCACACTGTTAAATCAAAAATAAATAACATGTATGCAGCAATTCAAAAAATATTTAATTCCTACGATTTATCATAAACCATTGAAAAAAATTAAAATAAAGTTCAGAATAAGATTGGATGGTAGAAACTTCTCATTTTTGCCATTTCATCAACTTGCCGTGACACAAAAATGTTAGCTTCATTTCAGAACTACCTACATTTTCACAAACGCCTTAGATTTGTTTGTTTTTTAATAGAAATCTTATACCAGTCAAGTACTCAATTTTTTATTTATATATCTACTTCCATGTCATGTCTACCGTGTTTATATAGTAATAGTCTATGGTAACATGAAAGTAAAAAAACAAGTGTTGACAACCCGCATCTACTCATCTTAATATAACACCGATTAAAGATATGATATATATATTTGACACATGATTGGTCTAATTAAGACATGAAATAAGTGATGTAACGAGATACTAATAATTGGGCTAATTATAATATTTTATTGGACCGTCTCTCTTAATAAACTTTCTTCTTTCAATATACTGAAAAACTACTTTTACACTAAATTTATACTGAATCGTTTAAGGTCAGCAAAATAGTCCAATCAATCAAAATAACAGCAATGACAAATATTGCTAGTTTTGACAGGTTATAACAGGCGGTTCACTGACAGCAGTCGTACTGTTAACATTGGAAGTACTGACAGTAGTATTAGTGTTGGTACCAGTATTGGTACCAATGGAGGTGGTGTTGGCGATAGTACCACTGATGGCCGGCGTGGTCGAGGGTTGCTCCTTGTCTAGCTGCCGGAACGACCAATTACCGGCGCCGTCGAATTCTAACACGTGCGTATGATATTTCCTGGTGGCAAAACACTTTCATACAATGCGAGTAAATTAAGAATAATACTGTCCAACGACCATCTTGGTTCGGATTGCGCTTCAACTTCAGAGTGTAATGTATGCAAAAAAGAACGAAGATATGATTTTTTATAGGTCAACGCACTATCGTTATATAGAGGATTATGGCACACTCACATTTATAATTGAAACCGAAGTCAAAAAATGGTGACGGGATAATGGTGGCCAGTGTTAACATTGCGACAAAAATCGTCAATTTCTTATGTAGTAATAAGGAAAGTAACAAGATACCCTATTTAAAATATATTAAATCTTGATAAACTAGCGTCAATAATAATAATAAATCCAATAATGTAAAATTAAGTTAAACTATTAAAAAAAATCAACAATCTTTATTTTTTTTTTTTTTTTTTGTTGTCAGTACTAAAAGGGCAGCTGAGCCCTTAGTTTATTTTTTTATTGATATTCTCTAACAAGATTTTATTACATTTATAATATTGAGAAGTTCAATGACCCAGTAGTTAGCGAGTTCGGTTTGCGATCCGGAGGTTAAACAACTTTCCCAAGGGCCAGAAATGAAGGATGGGTGACCAAAAATATATGTTATCTAGGTTTATATTTAAGCCGTTGGTCCCGTCTGCATCTGTGATCGTTAACATAAACCAACCCTTACTGGGTTGTGGGTTACAGTTTTTTTCTCGAATTTTTTTCCATTGGGAAAGATTTATAACCCAGCGATGCGAGTTACTATATAGGGAAGGATTATACCCTAAGTATTATAGGTATTAATAAGCTGACGATGATGAAAATGACTCACCATACGCTAGGTCTATGTGTGATTGAGAGTAGAGTGATGCCCTCGCGCACCGCCGCCGAGTACATCACTACTTCGGTCTCCATCGATACAGCACTAGTACACTCGTCCAGTAACGCGTATACTGGCCTGTAAACGAACATTACTGTTATATAATATACAATATTGTCACATAAATTGCTTAGATCCCACTAACATATTACACAAGGTGGCAACTTTCACGCCGCTGCTTATAGTTTAATTATAATTTGAATTATATTAAAATAGTTGAGATTAAATAAATATGAAAACAAGTAAGTACGTACGCAAGACAGCAAGAAATACATAGTTTTATTTAAACGGCATCTTTATAATAAAAATATGGATATACACATATACATACACAGCTAGTTGTTTTTATTATTTTTAAAAAATAAAATCCAAGCTATTGAGATCATATATATAAGTGAAGACATAATATAATATACAATATATAATCTTTGTAATGTAATTACGCATCATTTATTTTATCAATAATTGTAATGACATGGTAAATGCTATGTACACCTGTAATTAGCGAACACATTTAAATTATAACTTTTGTAACTTATTTTAAATATTGTGAATGTTTTATTTGTTTTGCGGTTGGTGTACTTTATTATAAATAAATAAATAAGACATATCGAGACACCCTAATGTGATGACCTGTCATAGAACATGCGCGCCATAGCCATGCGCTGCTTCTAGCAGTCGCGCGCGGGGTGTAATGTGGCGTGTATATGATGTGTGACGTCACCTGTGATAGAACATGCGCGCCATGGCCATGCGCTGCTTCTCGCCGCCAGAGAGAGTGGCGCGCCAGTCGCGCGTGGCGTGCAGTCCCCCGTGCCTGGCGGCGCAGGTGTCGAGGTGCACGAGGCGCAGCACGCTGGTGGCGCGTCGCTCCGCCTCGGGCCCCCGCGCCAATGTCGGGTACGTCACCTGCTCAAGCAGGGTGCCCTCCGACATGTACGGTCTACGGACAACAGCAATCAGCAATTAACAATACCCGATGCAAAACAGGGATGTTGTAAGTTTTACCACAACATGTATCTATATTTGACGCCAGAGCTACTAATCAGGTGAGTAAAGGTTGTGTAAATTTGAATGTAAATTAAATAGAATGAAAATTTGATCAAATATAATAATGCAGTGTCTTTTTTAATAAGCAGTTTTCCGGTGATAGTTCTTGACTCTGGTTTATCAAAATCAATTCAGCCGTTTCCTAGATGAAGTAGATTCGTAAAGCACAACAGTAGGGAAGATATATGGATGCCTGTAAGTCGAAATATAAAGTTAAAACTAACATTGCGGTTCATGTCTATATTAATATGGACATGACTCAAAGATTTGTGAATTTTAATGTTATCACTAAATTCCAGCAATTAGCGGTTCAGGCTATAAGTAGTTTTTAAATCAGTCAGTGTGTGCCCGAATGGTAAATTTATCGAGCGTTGTGAATACAAAATTAATGAAATATAATAAGTAATTGATGTATGGAAGTGTATACAGTTACCTCTGCGGTATATAGAACATGATGGGCCTGGTGGTACACCCGGGGCCGAGTGGGCGGAGTGTTGAGTCATCGGAACAGTGTCCGCACGCGCACGGTCGCGGTACGGACAGCTCGCCGCCAAACACCGGCCATAGACCGGATATTATACGGAACAAACTAACCGCAACAAGAAAAAACAACATCACAGTTACGATAAGGATAATGTCTGGGTATAGCGAAAAATCTATTAAGTCCGTCAGTCAGATAATAGAAAAATATTAGATACGTATTTTTTTCAGTCCAAATTAACAAGAAATGACTTCGCTTATATGTATTAAGCTCCAACTCCTAGCTTTGTATACTCGTAGATAACCTATATTTTAACTTAATGTATCGCCGTTGTTTATTAACTACGCACAAATAAAAATAAGTGGTTCATATTTTTCAATAATCTACTTATTTTCAATTTTCAATAATATACTAAAAAAATATTCATGATCCTTATTCATCATCAGCCCTTTTACGTTCCCACTGCAGAGGTTCAGGCCTTACTCATAGGTAGTTAGGGAGGGTGAGCCATGATGACCCTCCACGCTGGTCCAATGCGGATTGGAGGACATTAACGGCCAAACCAAAGCCTTAACGAGCCTACGGAGCATTGAGTAGCTCGAGATAATAATTTTTGGTCACTCATCCCGACCCTTGCAGAAGTTGCTTAACAACAATGTTCGCGGGCGGCGCCGCTTATCCACTACTACTAGTCTTATCCTTATTAAATCAGTTATTTAATATAATCAACAGACATAGTAAGTTCCAACAAATCTTGGTTATGGCACCAGGCCTACCGATTCCGACAAAGAAAATATGACTAACATTTATAATAGGTCTTGTTTCAATAAAGATAAGGTGCAAACAACGGTGTCCGTCTCCCTCACTCTTGGTTAAGATCAGGCACGTTTTGCTCCGTAGTAACATATGGTTTTACGATGGTGCAAATTTCTGTTCAACAAAGGAGCTGTATTTTGAAAAGGTTTTATTTACATTGTGCCCAAGTTAAACTCAACGGCTTGCTTAAAGTATTTATTAATATACTCGTACATCATAAAAAAATCTTTTAACATTTTATTGTGGAAATTTCCTAGTTACATTTATTTAAGTATACGACTAGTTAAGACGTAATGTTCAATTAAAAATTCACTACATTTACATACGTAACTATTAATAATAGATCGTGATAACATCAGTATATACAGATACCTGGACTTGCCGCACCCGTTGGGTCCCACTATCAGCAGATGAGTCCCGGGCTGCAACTGTAGCGTGACGCCACTCGCCACCACGTCGCACGCAGGCGTCACTATCGGCACGTTGCGCAAACGGATCGACAAATCGTCCGTGTACATTATTTTACCTAAACATCAACAAATATATACCTACATATCATACACATTAGTGACACTATATTGTTTGCTATTCGGCGTATTCGGCAATTATTCGCTTTTGGTGCCTAATATATTGGGTTCGTTTATTTCTATTTTCTTGGCTACACGACACTGTATAGAACTAAAAGACAAAACTTCTAATGTAATACTTATGTTATAAGACACAGAAATCCTATGAAAAATATATTGGTATCAGGCGAGAATAAATTATCTTGGTGTCATAATTGATAAAAACTTATCTTGGAGCCAACATGTAGGAGAGGTCAATAGGAGGGTGTTTGGCGCGTACGGCTCGCTCAAACGTTTTAAGAATCTACTGCCGACTAAAACTAAAATTTCTCTTGCGCAGTCCCTTCTTCTCCCATTACTTGATTATGCTGATGTATGTTACTCTGACCTAAGTGTTGTCCTCCTGAATAAACTAGAGCGTCTCCAGAATTTATGTATACGTTTCATATTTGGTCTACGTAAGTATGACCATATCTCTGAATATCGTGCCCAACTTCAATGGCTACCTATTTCTCGTAGAAGAGACTGTCACATCCTATCACTCCTTTACTCCATCTTGTTCCTCCCACATACTCCTCCATATCTTAAAGAGCGCTTTATCTTTAACTCTATCAATCCTATCCGTGATCTACGTTCTTCTCATAACCTATCTTTAATCATTCCGTCCCACTCCACTGATGTCTTAGCCAAGTCCTTTTTTATTAAAGCTATTAAATTATGGAATTCTCTACCGGTAGATATCAGACGTGCACAATCACGTGACTCTTTTACGAAACAGATAAAAGAACATTTCCTCAAGCTGGATTTTTCCTCCTAAATTATATTATCTTCTTTTTTTATATGAAGTATGTAGTATCTGTATGAGTATATATATATAAATATATATATATGTATGTGTGTATTTCTATTTTATAGTAATAATGTAGTACATTTACATTTATCAAAGATCAACCCACTACTCACTCGTTTCTTCAATTGGTATAATTTACTTTAGTCAAGGGTAGCCTGGAAGAAATTGTTACCTTAGCAATAAGGCCGCCTTTTGTGTTTGGTTTTGATTATAAATGTTATGTATAACTGTATTTGTACGCAATAAAGTGTATTCATTCATTTATTCATTCATTGATGAAGTTAATAAAATAGAGCAATTAAACTTCAAATCAACATTAGTTTTTAAACCTGTTTACGTGGTAAAACAATAAAATGGTTAACCGAATAATTCGGCCGAATATTCGGCTCGATAGAAGTTAAACCGAATAGTATTCGGTATTCGGTTATTCGATGAAACCACTATTCGGCGCATCTCTAATACACATCATAAGGAAGGGGGAAGCTTTCAGCTGTATTGGACGGAAAGATATAATCGATAAACCATAGATTTGTGTAGAATAGAGTTGTATAACATGATTGATGAAAAAAAAAATAAAAACAATAACAAAGCAACGCAAACAGTTCCAAAACATTATAAATAATAAAAAAAAAATTACCCAAAGGCACGGGCTGGTTATCTCGGAATGTGACCTGGAATCCGGAGTGTGACGATGCCGCGACGTGTACAGATCTGACGCATTTACCTTGCGCCACCTCGCTGAACACAGTCAACATGTCCGACACACGCGTCGCGTACCCTGCCAACGTCACTATTTCCTGCAATTTGATGGAAGATCCGTCAAGGGTATCATAGAAGTATGCACTAACGGATTAAAAGTCTAATTTGCCAGGTAAAATTTGTCTACTTAAGACTTATTATGAAATATTTTTGTATTAATAATATTTTTTTGTTTTTAAATAAATTATAATTAATTTACATATGTAAATGTAAGTGAACATACATTATGTATATATTTATTGACTTGCGATTTAAAGTCTGTGGATCAAGAACTGATACGCGGGCGACCATGGCGGAGAAGTGTTGTTGCAGGCAAAAATGCAAGAAATAAAGTGATATCTCCCTATCACCTACCAGATACTTTCAACCTTACTAAAACACAATAAAGTTCAATTTACCTTGTAACTAGACATAAGCCTCTCTATAGCGTCGGCGGCAGAGTTGAGTAGGTTCCTGGAAGTCGTCATGTATTCGGTGCGTGAACTTATACTATCGTCTGATGAACCTGAAATATAATTATGAATGATCACTTCTAAGATTAAAAAATAAAATAGCAAATCCACCCGAGCCGAAAGACGAAGAAAAATTTAATTAGAAAGATGATGTTCATATATTTCTATAGAATTTTAAAATTGGATGTCTATGCTTACAATTTAAATGTTTTTTTTTTTCTGTTTGTATGAGGCCCATAAAAGCCAATTTGGCATTAAGTGAATATTATCTTTGATTATAAAAAACATTATTTTGTAATATCTTGTATCCAAAGGATTTGAAAATTGACTTACTATAATTATTATAATAACATAAGTTATTACTAGTGATCCGCAGTGAGTATACTGATCTGCATGTGTCCGGGAGGTGAATATTCTGCCCTGGATGTGTATGTGTCCGAGAGGTATGGTGACCTGCATGTGTCCGCACAGTAAGTATGCCGACCTACATATGTCCGGGTGGTGAGTATATTGACCTGAATGTGTCCGGGGGGTGAGTATGCTGACCTGCATGTGTCCGAGCGGTGAGTATGGGCAGCGCGAGCATGACCATTCCGGTACCGCTCCATACGTATTTCATGCAGAACTGCTCCAGCATCACATACCACAGCTTGAGACGGAACACGCGCGTCATCTGCCCCACCAGCTGTCCGTACGCCGCCTTCAGCTGCCCGTGCTCCACCTGTATAGTACATCATACCAATATTGTCTTTTAAAAATTAGAACTCAAGAAAGTCACAACGCTACGCCAACGGTACATAAATCTACGGCGACAAGCTTCGTGATTGTCAGTGTCAGTTAGTAAATATATATATATACATATCTCTTATATATAATATCGTAACTGCTTTTTACCAATTATTTATGAAGTCGTATAATTATAATAAAACATACACTTCGAAAATATAAATTTCATTACAAAAATGGCAATAAACAGTTTTATCTAGTTTATGTGATTGTGCTGTAAACTTGGTAAAATGCAATCACAATGTACGCTTGTTACCTTGTGTCCACCATAGAAGGCTACTTCTTCTGCGTGTGCTATTAGTCTAGAATGCGCGTGCCGCAAATTGGCTTTCATACGGGCTTCCTCACCGGCCAAAGCACCGAACTTAGGACTTAACAGTCTGAGCAACTGTCCAGTGAGGCAGATCACTACGAACGCAATACTTGGTCCTGTATCAAAGAAATTATATAATTTAAGAACGACTAAACAATGAAAAAATATAAACGAACTTTCTGGGTACCAAAACATTTTTATTATGGCGAAAATATTGTATAAGGGAAATGCGCTTCCAATCCCGCTTGTTGCAGTATTAAAAATAAAAAGCGTACTGAAAAAGTGCTAGTACCACAAATCTATTTTGAAATATATTTATAGTAGGAAATAACTCTTTACTAGGGGTTAATGTAGAAATATAAAAATTTTAATACTCGTACAAATCTAAAATTAAAAGGAATACTGCTAGTCAGCAATCCACACTAGTAAGTATAGAAAGCCGTTATGGCTCAAAAACAAAAAAATTAGAATAGAGTTAAATAACCAAATAACATAAATAATAATCTGAGTTCTTTATAATTTCAGTTGACTAATATTACCATGTTCACATAAGACTAAGGTATTAATTGTCTTTTGAAAAGACATGAAACCATTTAAGTTGACAAATTTCAAAATGTGGGTTTTTGTTTAGTTTCAAGTATACTTTTTAGAATTAAATCTTAACAATACATTTTGATCGCTTTCATTTTACCAGTAAACTACAGCTAAAAGTTAACTTACTTTAATAGATCACCTGTTAATTTGGATATCAATTTTTATATGCGGGATCCCGCAAATATCGAGGTCACGGGGTATTGAAAGTGTTCAGCTCCACAATCTATTTACTATCAAGAATACCTGATAGTAAATAGACTGCGGGAGTGGAAGCCTTTAAGAAAAAAAGTTAATCATATGACAATTGCCAATAATAGATTTTTAATTTAAATGTTTCTAGTGACTGTATTATCAGAGTGTCTGTACTGAATAATTGCACAACGTAATATATTGTGTACGAGAGATAAGGGCGGATAATAGTAATGAAAGAAGGAAACACATGTATGTATCGTGTTGTGTTGTTGTTATCATACGTTGTTTCAAAAAAATATTAGTATGAAAAGGATATATTTCTGTCGCGTCATACACAACACAATATGCTTCAAACTTAATTCAGTGACAGTAAATTTTTTATTTTTTTTTTATTTCTATTAAGAAATTAAAAAAAATGTGTTAACATTTTATCACTTTTCGCTGGTCTGATTACTTCTAGAAGACTTGTAAATAACGTATAGTGATAACTGCAAAAGTAACACTACCTTTTGACACTCAAAACGAATGAAAACAAGCCACGATACTAAAACTATTATAAAACCAGGAAGATGAGAATCACTCCCGCAAATATAAAGTTAATATAGTTTGTGGATATAATATCATACCTACGAATATATTTCCCTTCATCTTGTTGGAGTAGCTAGCTAATGTCAAGACTATGAGGAGCAGATCGAAGCAAGGTTTCGTTAGAGAGCTGTACAAGTGTGCCACAGACTGAGTGAACACAGATACATCTTCAGTCAACCTGGTGACAAAACTTAATTTTAAAACATCTAAATTATAATGACAAAATATAAAAGACAACACACAAATACAAATTCATAAAATTTATCGCTGCGAAAGCGAGATGTGAAATGATAAAAATATTCTATATTAAAATAATAACCTTAAAAAGCACTTTGCAATCGTCCAATTCTTTTCCTACCTTTCATCAGAACAACTTTTGGTGGACAAGAACAAGCGAAAGAATTTATTAACTTTTCCTAATTTGCTAACGGCATAACGTTAGCAACATTTGGATTACAATTAAAAAATAAAATAAAAGAAAGTGTAAAATTGTAGAGTTTCACAGTGATTACTGACCTGTGGTCAGCATTCTCTATCCTTGAGTCGAGGTTAGCCACCTTGTAATAAGTCTGATTGCTGAAGTAGAGCTGGTACGCGTGGCTCACCAGCCTGGTACGGAAGGCGAGAGCCAGCCGACCCTCCAAGTATCTGATCATAGAGTTGATGAAGGTGGCCGGAATCGCGATACCGAACCATTGCAGGAGGAGCATGGCGAAGCGACGCATGTCCTTTTGAACTATATGCCTCACTGCACAATAATAAATGGAAAACGATCAAAATATAAAATTTCGGTAACGAACTAAATACTAAACAACAAAAAATAATTAGGGTTAACTTAACTTATGTATCGTTATGTAATTTAAGACTTATATATACTTCCATTATACTTGTTGTTTATTGAAAAGATGGAAAACCTAGATAACAGGACTAAAACTAAGTATAGTCTGGTTTGTGCCAATAATATGGCCTCCAAGTTATTTGAAAGCATGGCTTTAGAAAGACAAATTACATTGTTTCTGATAAGCACAGCTTTGAAAAATATAATGAAAATTTCTGTTATTATCCTATTCAAATTCATAGGCATATTCACATTCAGTCAATTTATCCGAGTAGGGAAAATATAAAAAAAAAAGGGATAAATAAATATAAATATCAGATAACATCACACACATTGCTCAAATCCCAAACTCAGTGCCTAAAGCACTTATACTAAGAAAATCTGAAACAACAAAAGTAACACAATGGCCCTGGCCCGAGACAATATAGAAAAGTTAATTTAATTCTCCACATTGACCCACCCTACCATAAATGTAAACTGGAATACATAGAAGGCTAGATCTTGAAACTCGATAGCAAAAGTTGACATTTAACGAGAATTATGATGACCAATCGATCAAGAATATTACTGACCTATGGAACCCTCCAAAGATGCGACGTATATAGACAGGAAAGTCCTGGAGAACAAGCACAGCGTATGAGCAGTAAGCAGGGCGACCTCGTGACTGCGGAACCCTGGCACCATTATCTTGGCGAGAGAAACCAGCTGCCTGAGGAACTCCAAGTTTAACCCAGGTATGTATTCCTCTTGCGGCGGTGAGGGCTCATCTGCATCTTCCTGAATTTGCCGAGAAGGTATTCGTTATTTTAGAATTGCTAATATAATTGCTGTGATAATATATACCAAGTGATTCCATGTAACATTATCAAAAATTTTGTAACACTACAATATTCTAAATAAGCCTGTAACATTTTGCTACAGTATGTTGGCAAATATTATATGTATTAAACGCTCCCACACTAGTCCAAACGGTAATGCTTGTGTTACTCACTGCCCGGATATGGAACCATACTATAGATAGATTATGTATAATAAAGACCTATTTTCATTGGCCGATAAGTAAATCATTGTCGACTCATCAGAGGCAGGACAACGACTAACGGAAAATAACTAAGTATAGAATGGTATCCCTAATATTGAATATTCAAATATGTTATTTTTATTCTTTATTAGAAAAAAATTAAAAAGCTTTGATATATGTTAAGCAACTCTATCAGTAGAGCGCAAACTTGATGGATCTAGTGTATAATTTCAGTACCTATGTTATATTAGGGATACTATATGGAGGGATAGGTTTTTTGGGCAATTAAATAACATCGAATAAATTTTTCAGATTCCATGATTCCAATAAGCAGCTACATCCTTCATATTATGAAATATTTAAAACAATGAAGGTACCACAGCACCCATGTTATTTTCCATAGACCCGACCGGGAATCGAACCCGAGACCTTGGATATGGTAACAACTTGAAACCGGCGTGCAAGCACCGACCGCGAAGGTCATCGTTATTCTGCCTGCAAATGTTTCTAGCATTCAATAATAATGTTCCTATTACATGCGCTACACATCTCACTCAACCAGCATTCGGGATTATTAAATAAAAGTGAGATTACTCTTCTTTCTCTATTGAATTTTATTAAGTCCAAAGTCAATATTATCTTAATTCAAGTAAATTAGATGTGCACTTACAATATTCTGCTTGTTGTCAGTGTCGGCGTCCCCTCTACAGAGTGCGCACTGATCAGCACCACACCGACCACCGCATGTCTCTGAGCTACCTTCAGGCACCGTTTGCAGTTTTCCATTTTTAGCTACCTAAAAAAAAAGAAAAAATATATGGCAAGACTTAGAGCTATTGCCCGCATAAGTACACATTTTAAACAAAACAAACAAAATACTAGAGATGAAATGGATATCCAGTAACTGTATCCAACTTTATACCGGCTAACTAACTCAAATTATAAATTCAAGTAATACTACTTATTAATTATTACATTTTCAATCTAAAAATTTGAAACTCAATAAGTACATTTAGGACAAATTATGGTGAATAATTATTTACTAAATCCTGTGTAAGAACACAATTAAAAAGGAGATTTATTAATCTTGTTTGCAATATCCAACATCGATGCATGCATCGTCATCGTCGTTTCGTTGATTTTATCAAAGTTAACTTTTTGTTTTTGTGTCATTACACCCGTTCGTACGCCACCTGCGCAACAACAATATGGTCCGCTTGATATACAGTTCGAATATCAGTTTCATCTCTAATAAATATTTAGTACAATTTTTGAAGACCCAATAATACAGTTTCAATTCTACGAGTAGTTTTAATGAAATTCCACTCAATCCAGATCTCGTGCTGTTTCCAGTCCCTCATGGTGTGATATTACAAATGCGTGAATGAGATGCGCGCGATTTCCGGAATTATAAAAAAGAAAATATCTTGTTGAATTACACATTCTATTAAAAAAGAAATTGAATGATGTTTTATTTAGGTTTGGTTTTTGTTTTTCCTGAATTTGATCTATTACACAACAATTTCCCTAATCTGATGATAATAATAAAACTTAAATGAGAGTGAAGTTACGTAGAATGCCTCAATCATACTCTTATATACCTTATTAAATATATGAATAACCTCAGGGTTGAGAATGTTCAGTCCCGAAACTACTGAGAACCGATTGAAAGACGCTCACCTTATAATTGTTATTATTATTGCATGGAGTCTGTTGTTTCTTCTCTCTGGTTCCGTACAAGGCACACGCTGCTAGCGCCACTCCCACACCCACACCGAGTGCTAACGACGGCTGAACCCTCGAAGCTTGTTCTCGAATTTTCGACAGTATCGCAGGCATTTTCACAGCTCTACGTATATAATAGCATTACAAGTAAAAACTGTCTTCTCACACGCCAAATATCATATCATCCGAATACACTGTTATGTGTATTTACTTGATATTTAATTAAACTTAAAGCTGTACAGAGATCTCGTGATAATAATCAATTAGAAGAGTAATGTTCTATGTCTTTATAATGTTCGTCCATTTTTCTGCAACAATAGAAAATACACAAATCAAATATTGCGATTATTTAAAACTAAACGACAAAAATCGAGCGATAATGGGAAATTAAACTATCCGACCGGATTACCTAACCTTGCTTATGTGCGTCAACAAGGGCAAAATTAAAAAACCGGCCAAGAGCAAGTCGAACTTTGCACCGAATGTTCCTCCCTAAAATATCGCAAGCTACTGACTTTCCTCTATCTTTAAGTATAAAGAACTATGTGGTCAATTCTGTTAAAAAAATCAAAGTCAGTTTCAAAATTACAAATATATATACAACTTATCTACCACACAATACAGTTCACATTTCTTTTTTCAAATATCCATTTATTACTATACCCATTAAAGGAGCATTTATTACACTGTCTCTTTAACGTTAGTTTATATGATGCAAAGTGACATTAAGAAACGCCATAAATATTTCCCTAAAACCAGTCAGGCATTGACACTACTCGTTGATAAACTTCAAAGGCAGCTCTAACCTTTTCACGATTCTTACCCCTGTGACCTATTAGCAAAACTGATTTTACCCACCGTCCAACCCAGAGTCTAATTGGAAGTCAGACTTCTTCTGAAAGATTTCTCTAGACACGCCCACCATGTTATACTTATAGTTTCGCTTTAAACACGTCCTGAAACAGAATAGCTGATTTCTCCCGGAGAATAAGTAATTCACCCTTGTGAGGTTAGTTACCTCTAGATTTCATTAGCACAATAGTTGGCTGAGGTCAATGATCCAAAATAACCACAAAAATAAAACTAAATTTTGTTTATGATAAAAATTTCGGATTAAACTGCGTTTATATATGTCATGCTAACAATAAGCAAAATCTAGTAAATAATATTTCTCTTGTTTGCTTGTGAACAAATAAAATACCGAAATGTTTTATTTTTTATTTGTTAGTCATACGTTACAAAGATTTGTCAAAGTAAAAAGAAAGAAATAATATTGTTTTTAATACTGGCCATTGTAAAATTCACACCTTCACACGAGAATATAAAAAAAAAGAATTTATTAGTCTTACTAATAAGTAACATTATTTAATAATATATAGCTCTGATCACGTCATTCGGGTGGATATAATTAATTAACAAATATTCATTCTCATCAAAAAAATAATGAAAATAAGTGAGAAATTTTACGAATAACTTTGTATTCAAGAATTTTATAAATTCAAGTTTTATCTGCGACCGTACCCTTACAACTATTATGTAGTTTTCTCACTGTGTACTACTCGTACGAATTAACATGACACCTAAGGCCCTATTCTATTCGTCGTCGAAAGAAATCTCCGAAAATTTCAAATCGTTTTTATAATTTTAAAATCATTTCCATAGATTTTCGGTGCATCATAGGCAGTGTCAGGTCCCACCCCCGTTCCATTATAAATTATATAAGTATATTAGCATTTCGAAAATTTATGAATGTTAGTTTTCGGAAAAAAATAATAGGCTGTCAGGTGTCATGTTAATTCGTACGAGAAGTACTTTTCTTCATTGCCACAACGTGTTTAGGAGTTTCACTATGTTGTTATTCTTCGATTACCACAACGCGTTGTAAACAATTTTTTCCTTTAATAAGTGATTTCGATCTTTGATCGTATTATTTATACGAGTTTTACTATTCTTGTGCAATCTCTATGTATAAAGCAAACATTCGCGATAAAACCTATTCAAACGTTAGATATTACAAAAATTCCCTGCCGTAGTTCCGACCTTGTACAAAAGTACTGTATGTTACGAAAATTTATATTGCAATGGCGTCGGTTGAAATAGCACGCGATTTGTTGATGAAGTAGGTATATCTACTTGGTATAATATCATCAATGTGTGGCGCTTGGTCTTATAGTTTAATATTAACTTTTCAATCTGTGTTACTCTAAGAAAATAAGTCTTAATTAGATAATAATATATTTTTTTCAATTAAAAAGTAATAAAATGGCATCAGCGGTCTCTACTGATTACAGGAGAAATTCTTAAAATTTAATTTCTTTTCTTTTCATTACTATATTTTAAAATTATCATATTTTTCCAAAATCTGTGATAACATTTATTAAAATCATAAATGTTATTTTGACAGTATTCAAAACATGTCTACATCATTCCTTTCCAGGGACGTAACCTTTATAAACCCACGGATATCAATAAAGTAGATTATTGCTGTTTCTAGAATAGAAACGAATAAAATAACAATAATAGTCGATCTGGGTAAAACTACAAATGATATAATAATAGCGGACCGAAACGTGATCCTTGTAGCCCCACGTGCATTGTACTAACCTTGACCCTCCAGTTGCGCATGAGTCAGATAAGCCGTCGCTTACTGACACACTAAAAACCTCCACGCAGTATGTTGACAAGGAAAACATATTTCATAAAAAGATAGCGAAGCGTGATGCACATAATCAAAAACCATTATGAATAGACAATTAAAATGGCATGCCAGCTTTTGTAATTGTCGTCAAAACAAAATAAAAGAATACCTACGTAAGATCAAAAGTTAACATGTTTATTTCATTGGAAATATCTTGATTGACAGCTCACGAAAATAATGTGACGTCAAACACGATGTAATTAATATTTTCAAAATGCCAAAGCAAGCAATGTGACGATATTATGGCATTAATTTCTAAATTTTGAGCTTCGACGTCATTGGCATTTGAAAGACAAACAAGAAGACCCGGCAATTCTCATCACCATCTTTCATTCATTTCATTTTCATTTTACATGTAGAAATTAATTTATGCATTAGCTAAACATTAATTAAGAAGCTAATTTGACAATAGAAAAAGTTTCAATGTGTCAACTACCTATCCTTGACCTATCGTATAAATTTTGAATTTGATAATAATTATTGTCACATAATTGAAAAACCGATACAAAAAAAAATATTTAAAAACCAGATGAGAATTTCGAATGTCGCCCATGCATTTCGTGGTTTATATACGAATATTAACAGTCCGGTTTCAAAACAACTTTCTTGTAATGTCATTCACCTTTTCAGATATCGCGGAAAAAAAAATTAATAAACACAAACCTTTTTCATATATGGCATGAGAGCAAAAAGTATAACTTAATACCAAAAATAGAGTTATAAGTTTCAAAATATATGGAAAACATTAATAAATCTACTACCTCACTATGGACAATCAAGGCTATATACTTTTTACATGTTTGAGCTAATGGGCAATTTTTCTAAATTCTTTTCGTACACAATCACGATAACGTCTAAAGCCATACTAATAACAGTTCATAACTGAGATGCGTGCATTTGATAAGTGCTGGGAAAGTGGGTTAATAGGATTTGCAGTACACACTCGTTTTACAATGCAACGTTAGCAAGAACTAGCCACTGACACGCTAAATGGAAATTTACTTTAAAGTATTACTATCAATAACAAACAATAAAGACTTTGGATATTTTGGATTAACACCTGGCCGAATACTTACCTGAATCAATAGACATTGTGTTGTCTAATAGATCAGATAATTTTTATGGTATCTAACCCATGAGGAGCTCGATGGTGCAGTGGTTAGCGCGCTCAGTCTGCGATACGGATGTTTAGGGGCTCAAACCCGCGACCTTTCGCAATCCAGGCGGGCAACCTGGGGCTGATATTTTTTTTTTAGCATTTTGTCATTATAATATTTTCCAGTATAGTATTGTGAATGCAAACCATTAGCATAAAACTTGTATACATAAAACAAAAGAGGAACTTCACTTTAAATATAACACACCCGATATAATTCTACTGATATAGTTTAATAAAAAAATAGTAAAAAATGTGATCGTTAATAAAATCAATATTTACAAAATGTGATGGGGATCGCACGTTCGCCTTGACCACAAACACGGCAAAAATGAAGTTTTAGCATCCATCAAAGACATTTAACACCCATATTTTATGCTACAGATTCGTTTAGAGGACAGGCAGAATTAAGAAATTTAAATAAAGAGTTTATCCACCTATTACAGTTTATTAACGGGAAATTGTTTTCTTTGTCATTCTTTTACGTTGCAACGGAGCATCGTTATCGTATAATTTTATGTGAAGATTGGAATACTAGAGAACGGCATCGGCTTCTGTTTACCGCAAACAATCAATCATTAAATAAACTTTTTAGGCTCGGTACAAATCTTCATCACAGAAGTAATGTACTTTAGTACGTGACTGAATTACCATAATGTTGAAGGTCAAACGTTTCATGACGTTCGTAGCATCTATCGTCAGATATGCTTAGACGTAAGGGCAACAGACTGTTTCTATATTTCTGATTGGTAAAATATGCTGGGGGCAAAGTTCAAGAGTTCAAACATTATTCAAGCTTATCAAGTGGTATATCATTGATATCTCAATAATATCAGTCGAGCACGAAATTTATGTTCAACTGATATTCTTTTGTACATTCCTCACTGTATCTATTTTTATATGGTGTTAGATCGCTTAAGGTACTTATTATACTAAGTTTGCTATTGTTAAGGCCTAACATCAAGATCAGTAGATAAAACTCAGCGATATATAGCATGTTTAAAAACTTTTGTTCCATATTCTTTATTTTTATTATCAATTGCATTTTTTTATTGAATGTTTTACCAGCACTGGTGGTACTTTTAAAGCCTACTATAAATTCGTTACAATTATTACTGGTAATATTTTGACTTAACCAAAAGAGAATGTTTCGTTCTACCGGAATTATATTTGTTTCTTTTTGGTCGAAATCTGTTATTCGTATTTTAATTGAAATGGAATGTCTGATATTAATAATGAGATAGGAAATATGCAGTTGTT